TGCTGTGAGTTTAGCTAATACAGGTGAGTGAATTTTCATCAGCGCAGACAGAGTGTTTGCATAGCCAACTATTAAGTAGTAAAATTACGTAACGTTTCTGTCAGGCTACGTTAAGGCATTTGGGTAAATTTCATATCAGTGGAGCTTATGTGCTGTATTTATGGCGTCTTAGAGTTGCCACACTCATTCCGCATAATTTTTGGACATGTTCAAAAATGCATGACTAACTGGCCTACCTGCTGAACTAATCATATATGCTGGTGTCAAATGCATTGGCAGACAGTGCTATTGCATTATTTTCTCACAGCTCCATATCTTATTAAGTAAGTGTGACAGTAGTATTAGGTCTGAGATTTAAGATCAAAATGTTGCCACCATTACAGTCTGATCTGTTTTTGTTATGTGGGGACCTACTTCAGCAACGTGAAAGGACAGACTGAGTGTAGAGTATGTCATTCAGTGAGTAAAACAGTGACGTGTCTTTCATCGAAACTGGGACAGCTGCAGTCTAAACTATGGTGTCCATTATCTCAGATTTCCAACAATATTTACAGGTTATATCAACAAATCCTAGACGAGGACAAGCTTGCCTATATTGGAGAGTGGGTTGAACATATTGCCTCGTAATACTTTTCACATTCTATTTAGGTTATTTTTGGCATTCGTTGAAATACTTTTACATTCTTAGTCACTGTTTGGAAAACAAGCAATAAACCTAAAGCATGCTGTCATACATTTAGACCCTGTTTGGTGGTTTTGGGAATATGGTGAAATCTATGATGGAAGCATAAACACAGATTGAGCTTCTTTACCAGCTCTATAAAGCAGATGGTGTCTGTGTCTGCAATAATCTTCAGAAGCTAAGAGGATGTCCTGAAAACAAATCCAACAGACATGAAGAGGATGGCGCTTTATATTTCTCAGACATACTCTTTTATTGATGGGTCATTCACTTTTTTTCATTTCAGCCACTGGTGACTTAGATGAGGTGTGAAATGCCAAACTCTGGTAGGATTATTGTATCTGATAGCCATTTGAGCCGATCCCTCTGGAATTAGCAAACCGTCCAAGATGCTAAACAGCTGTTTTTACTATTAATTAAAGACATTTCCCTGAAGGGCTTCTTAAATTTCCTTAGAGTGCAAAACAACGCTTTAAGCATAGACTAACATGCTGTTATATTTCCTGCTTTAATTGGCTGCATTCCAGTGGTATAAATGTAAAGAACAAAAATCAAGTTTCCTCTGAATGAATCAATGCTATGTATATGCCTGGAAAAACACTATATTTTATCAGTATTACATGGTCTAGATTAGTATTGTGATAGTGTCCCCTTTAACTTAGTGACCAATGACTTTCAGGATGCTTAGGTCTGCATCTGTTTTTACTGAAAGAAACAGTTATTTTTCCCAAACATGAGTTCCTGTAGGTCAATGTAAATATGCTGTCCCAACAAGGCTTTATCAGCAGTTTCTCAAGATATTTCTGACATACAATTACTGTCTTCAGTAAAATCAGGTCCAGCTCATGCGGATGATGTTTTTATGTAGAGCATAACAATATTTTATGACATAAAATTAAAGTACTGCCAAAAACTCGGATACAATCATTTTAAATTGCCCTGACTACCACCCCAGTTCGATTCCTGGAACGGGATCAGGACATCCCTAAAACATCTTGAATTGTCTGACCTGGGAAGGCATGAAATGACATCACTCACCTGTTGGATTTTTTCTGAACTTGCTCAAGGTAACTTCACATGACTGTGACATAATTTACCAGATATCCCCAGTGATTAAGGCCTTCTTGAGGAGAAGCAGTCTGAATTCCCCTCTTTCAACAAGTGATCATTTCACTTCTCAGTATTTCTGTTTGTACAACTTCTTCTTTTTTGAGACAGAAATCTCTCCAGGCAGCTTTTTCCAAACAACATAGTTGTTTTATGGCAATAATCAATGTAAGTGTTCTTGTAAATCTAGATTGTTTTCATTTCAAATGCACATTCAATTTTCGAACTGGACAACAGTGTACATATTTTCCTGATTATAGTTCCTGTGATTTAACTCACATTACACCCAGACTATATTACAGTGTAGAAAAGCAACACTGTGTACTACATCCTGACTTGTGACATTTTGTTCGATCATCAAGCGTGAGGAAGGCAAGTCTGAATAAAGGTCATACTTGAGAAATTAAGTTGAAGACCGGGCGGTGGGGGGATTATTTTGACAAGACTAAAAAAAGAAAGTGAAACATGACGAGGGTGGACAGGAGAGAGTAAAACTTGTTGTGCATAATATTCTCGTGGTTGCAGTTAATCTTGGTACAGTCATCATCTCCGTCTCGCTGCCTGGTGAAGCTCTGCATGCCTGATGAATTATCTGTCCTCTTCTGTCTTCTTCCGCTGCTGGAGGCTCCAGTGTCTCCTGCAGTGGGAAGCTGGTGCTATGGAGCAGAAACAGATGTTTTTTGTTGTTGTTTTGTTTTGTTTTTCTAAACAATTCCCCTGCATGAATTCCTTCCTGAAGATGACTGGATGAAGTAGCTTAAGAAACGTATGGTATATGTGTAAGATTTTGTCACCAATAAAGTGAATGATAGTGTAGTTTGTCATATCTGCAAGCAACAAGTGATGAATGCAATCACCTCATTTTTTGTCACATGTAGAAGCAGCTGAGAAAAAGCCAACAAGACTGTGATATTGATAGTCATCTTAGGGGATCTAAGGTCTGATAACACAGAGAAGAAAATGTTCACTGTCAAAATGACAACACCCAAAGGGTTGCACATTTCTCCACAGAGTTATTGTTCATCCACCACGAGATGTGCTTTGGAAATAGCTGCTCCTCTTTACTGGTGATGTGAGACAGTCTGTCTTGGTTTTAGGAGTCAGGATATAATCACAGTCTCCATATGACCTTCCCAAACACTAACCATGCATGATATACTGCCTGATTAAGGTTTCTTTTTCTTTTTTTCTTTTTTTTTCTCAAAGGAGCAATGTGAGCGCAAAACTGATTTAGCCACGAGTAAGGAGTCAAAGAGCTTCTCGTTTGATGTTGCAGCCAGGTCATGTTCAAAGGAAAATATCAAATAGATGTGTGTGTGGAGAAAATGGGCCAGCTTTTATAAGGGTTTGCGCTGATATTCAACACAAAGCGTGCATTTGCATTCATGTCCTCACACACCCTTGTATGGTGGTACTTGATAATGGAGCTTGTGTAAAGCTTATCTCTACACTCCGTGCTGACAACACGGAATCTTTCATCCACATTTGGTGGTTTTAATGACTTCACAAATTGATCAGAAGATCTTGGTTTCTGCTGCAGAGGTCAGCTGTTATTACACACACACACACACACACACACACACACACACACGCGTACATGCTTCAAACAGGTTTTCTTTTGATTCCACTTTTTGATACCATCAAACCTTCCTCAACAGTACATTTGTATACGGTTTATCACCTGCTTTTCTTCAGGGTGCAAATTCTACTATGACAAACAGAGGGGTTGACTTTTTTCCTATACAATGCAGGCGCATACTTGAGTTAACTGTATTCTTTTAATCTTCTGGAAGCTTTCTTGTTACAGGATTAATGTCTGCCATCTGTATTGACCAGTCAAATCAAATCCAGTAGTTCACAGGGCATAAATGACACCTTAATCCTTGGACTCAAATATCTGACTATGAAAAACAGACCATCAGAATACAAGAAGGGCAGACCAACACTAAATTCTACATCTAAAACACCATCAGTAAGACATAGAGGGAGATGGACTCACCAAGCAGCATTTAAAACGGGTTTAACAATTTCATTTGTTACAGTTAAAACCAAAATTATTAATACCCCTGGCAGATTTAGATTTACTTCAAGCATTTATTTTGGGTTATTTTTACATAAATCAGCAGCTTGTGGAAATTAACCTTAGTAATTGACAAAAAGTGATGCAGGGATTATCTTCACACTTAACAAGCCCACATGAATTAATATAACAAATTGGGAGAAGATGATGGAAGAAGACTGGGAGAAGATGTCCATAAAGTAAATTTGTTTCTTTTGTTAATTTTCTCGTAGTCTGGGCAGAAGTAGGATGATCCAGGATCGTCACAGTTTTAATTCAGTTATTACTTATTATTACTTTCCGCACTCCAGATTAATCTAACGCGTTGTTTGTGCCTATCTTCGCACATATATTTAAATTAAACCTTATATCATCATTTTTCAAGGCAGCTGTGAAACATGCCCAAGTCTTGACACATGGTCATGTCCAAAGAAAAACAAAAACTTCCAAAGAAAAAAAAAACAAAACACAGCATTCTTCAAAAATATGAAATAAATACACTAAACTTGTAACAAATCGAAATGACCAAACAGAAAACTAAAACAAGTAAGACATATATCTCAGCATAGTTAGTGGAGGTACAAGAGAAACCAAAATCATGAGCACACATCCCTGAACACTTTTCTTCAGTAACTATCTTTTATTTGAATGGCTCCTACTGCATATAATTTACCTCACTTGGCAAATACAAGTCATCGAACACTCAGCTTTCCACATGCTTTGCTTTTGTATCTAATTTGATAACTGCATTTGTGAAGCTGAAGAGAGTCCTCTCCCAGTCAATAACCGCAGGCCGCTCCTGTCACTGTGACAAATGGGAGGTTTTGTAGGGCGGGTGTGTGTGTAACTGGATGGGACACCACTGATTGGGTGCGGTAGCAGCGTAGCGGCTGTTGGACGAAGACATTCAGAAAGTGCTGAGAAAATTTTAACTGCAGTTCATACAGCGGTTGTCTTTTTCAGCTGCTTACATTGTCTGCTTTTGATGATGCAGTGCCTTGCAAAAATATTCATATCTCTAGAACATTTTGACATTTTGTTATGTTACAACTATTAACTTCAGTGTAGAAATAGAGGGAAGTGCACAAAGAGATGCAGTAGAGGAGGTACGGTAGTACAGGTTAGGTGCTTGGGTAGGATACAAAACAATACCACCTGAGCAGGAACTTGAACCCTGGGCCCTTCAGAATAAAAGTATGATGCTCTATTAACTGAACTACCCATTGTCTGATAGAGCTTAACTGTGTAGTGAAAGGAAACTAAGACATGGATTCCAAAATTTTTTATAAAATGTAAAAAACTGTAGCATGCATTTATATTCACACCCCTCTAAACTGATACCCTTAAATAAAATCCACCAGCTAAGCTTTTAGCAGCTAAGAGGCCCATTGTAACTCTGGAGAAGAAAGCTGAAGCTGAAGTTGGAGAACTTGTTTACATTTATTAGTCGTCCACTCCACATATCTGGCCTTTATGGAACGGTGGTCAGAAGGTAGCCATAAGAAGTCTTGTTTGCAGTTTGCCATGAGCCTCGTAGGGGATGCACTGAGCAGAAGGTCCTCTGGTCTGGTCAGATAAGACTAAAACTTAAACATTAGGCAAGGAAGAAAACTAACACTGAACATCACACCGAACACATCATCCCCATAGTGAAACATGGCGGTGGCAGCATCCTGCTGTAAGAACGCTTTCTTTCACACGGACATCGCAGTTATTCAGAGTTTCTTTAAAACTTAACTTCAGAATTGATGTTGATTGATGGTTCCCATCCAATCTGACTGAACCTGAGCTTTTTTTTCAAAGAAGAATGAGCGGAAAGGAATGTTGTTAAACTGGTAGAGACATTCCTCAAATGTCTTGCAAGCGTAATTGATGGTAATGGAAATATTGACTCAGGAGGTCACAATATAAATGTCAAGGGTTATGAACACTATTACAGTGTTTTGGAGCTAAGAATAATAAACAGTGTCCTATTGCTTTACCAGCAAAAGTCATATAGAATGATTGTGGAATATTCTTTATGTGGGACCTATTTGGTTTTTTTCTACTTCCTTTTTACTTCAAGTCAATTTGGGCTAATCCACTTTGCTCCCTAGAAGGTCTATAAAATACCAACATGCCAATAAGTGCAAAGCTGACATGAGCAAATGGCTGCTGATCCTTTGATTCAATCTCTAATCTAAAGACAGAGGATTTTATTAATTAGGAGCTGTTTCTTTCATATTGAAGTACTTGCAAAGAAATTATTTCTTGACATCAAAGTCAAGCCCTTTTTTTCAAAGATTAAAAATACCCATGCATAGATTTAGCTTTTTAGAAAAGGTCACTAATTAGAATTAAAAGCGGATTTCTTAGACTATTATCCATTAGCACATCTTTATTGTCAGCTCATCAGTACTTTCACAGGTAATATGGCTAAAATAAAAATAAAAAGCAAAAATATGATGAACAGCTTCTGAAGTCTGTGATTATGAGGTCTTGGCTGTCAGGAGCTGCTGTAAAGGTCGGCAGTTGTGTGAGAGACTTAATGGCTGTGGCTTGGAGTAATCATCAGACATTTTGGCAAGCTTTCTGAGGGCTTTCACTCTTTGGCGCTTCCATTCAATCATTCTTTGTTTGTCTTCCTAAATAATTATTTGTTGATCCTACGTGCAAACCTTTTAGTCACAGAACTGATTTGGAGTGCTGTAGGAGTCTTTAACACTTGGAGATGTTTTTCTTTTTTTTCAGGAACTAACACTACCTAGAAAACCAACTCTTTTGTTATGGCTGAACAAACATTTGATAAACGGTGCAAGATATTAGACTTAGAAACATCTATGCGTTAAAATCTGATGTCTTCCAGACTTCCATTCTTAAAAATATCTTTGAAATGTTCATACAGCTCTGGGGAATTTTGGTTGTTTTTTATCTTTCGATAATGACACACAAGAATGCATTTTGTGAAGCGGCATAAGTTCATGTGTCGATTTTGGAGATCTGGAGTTTTTTGAATGAACACTGAGTTCTTCTTGGGGTCATGGTGCATTACTCTAAGATAAAACATATGTTATTTGAGTATTTTGTTAATCTTTGGTGTCTTCCTTCTGTGTTGTTTTAATATGAGTCTGTCCAGCTGCAGCTTTTAGACCACCAAGGTAGACTCAGTGCTTTTCTACTCCTAATCTATGTAGTGTGTGGAATTATGTAGGGCAGGTTTCCATTTTATTATTGTTAATCCTTCTCAATCTGTCCACCCTGGTGTTTTTACCTGTTTGCTAGCCAGATGATCATTTTGATATCAACAAAATATTTCATTTTTGAAAGGCACACAAGTACTCTCTTAGCTCAGCTTAGCAGCTTGTAGCTTTAATGTTTTTGTTGTGTCGAGAAGCTGCTGCAAATTCTGTTAAAGCTACATTTGTCTTCAGAATAAAACATATCTAAGATTTGTCTGAAGGTAAAATTTGCATATGTAGTTGCATGAGAGAACAATGCATTCCCACTTTAGCTCAGAAATGACAAAAAAAACCATAGCTATGTTTGTTTCTAAACATGGTGATAGATATACAGTTTGCAACTTTGAACCTTAAAAACACATCATCAAATGGTTGTTGGTGTTATCCCGTGAACTGTTGTGTAACAGACCTAAGGTTTTCTTTCTGTATTTTTAACAGAGCAAATATTGGGCTGAAAAAGAAGAGTGCTAATGAATGTTTGTGCAATGTTTCTATTTTGAAAGACTAATACCGCATTGATCTACTCCGAGCTCCTCCCGGATGGCCGAGCTCTACACCCTATCTCTAAGGGAGTGCCCGGCCACCCGGTGGAGGAAGCTCATTCAGCTGCTTGTATCCAGGATCTCGATCTTTTGTTCATGACCCAAAGTTTACGACCATACATGAGGGTCGGATCGCAAACCGACCGGTAAATTGAGAGCTTCACTTTTTGGCTCAGCTCTCTTTTTACCACAACTGACTCGCACAGCGTCCTCATTACTGCGGCAGCCGCACTGATCCGTGTGTCGATCTCCCGCTCCATTCTCCCCTCACTAGTGAACAAGAACCCAAGATACTTGAACTGCCCGATCCTCTTTGCACCAGTCCCTTATGGTTCCCCTGCAGCTGGTGAGCCCACTGGGGGATGGCCTCACGTCTCTCGATTGGGCTTGGCCCAGCCGGGTCCTGCGAGGAGTAACCCGGCCACCAGGCGCTTGGCGACGAGCCCCGACCCCAGGCCTGGCTCCAGGGTGGGTCCCCAGTTCCGCCGTATTGGGCGACATCACATGCCTGGTTGTAATAGTCCTCATGAAGGTGTCTAAACCGCTCTTTGTCTGACCTGTCACCCAGAGCCTGGTTGCCATGGGAGACCCTACCAGGGGCATTTAAGCCATGGACAACATAGCCTCTAGGGTCATTCGATCACTCAAACCCCTCCACCACGTTAAGGTGCCAGTTCAAGGAGGGGGATTACATTATTTAATATATATTAATATATATTTGGTATTAGGACAATAGAGAAAAGGATGGAATGTGCTCTGGCAATACTGAACAGCAAAACTCTGCACACACATGGAATAAATTCACTCAATGTTTTAAAATACAAAAACGTATTAACAAAATTAAGCCACTTCAAGGTCAAACATATTTCAATCAAAAAACTCTTCACTATACTAGAACAATCCACCTAAAAATACCAAGCAAAATGAAAGAATAAGGAAGACCAGTGGAGTATATATAATATGAACAAGTGAATCAAAGGTGGTTAAAAACCATGACCAATAGAGGTATGCCACATTACCATTCAGTGTTATTTTTGTTTGAGAACCAAGGATTATGTTGAATAGCCTGGAAATAAGGTTAAGTTAGTCTTGGAACTAACTTAGGCAATAATTGATATACCTTCAAACCCCTATTCACAATGCAAGATCAGATAAAAAATTATTTTAATAAAATAATATTACAAGAAATGATTTGCTGAATGAATCCAAACTTCTAGGTGACAAATTCTCAGTGGTGTTTAATTAGCTACGTTTATTTAGTACAATGATATTTAAGGATATATTAAAATAATATTTAAGGAAATGTTACTTTGAATAAAACCAACAACCTTCCTGGATAAATTATTCTTAACTGGTGTTTAATTAGTTTTAGAAAAATAATATGTAGGGAAATATTATTTTCCTAGATTGAAAACTAACAACCTTTCTGGATAAATGATCCTTAACTGTATCTTAGCAAATCATTGTAAAGGATGTAAGACATTTAGATTTTCAGGAAAAAAGACAACTTTAGAGTGACAAAATAATCTGCGATAGACTGGCGACAAAATAATGTGAACACCCTATAGTGGAATAGTTTACCTACACATATCTGCACTGTTGAGAGCATAGATTTATTGAAATGTCTTTAAAACACACATTTTATTTGACTTTTCACTTGGCTTGAGAAGTCTGTGATACCTTTAATTGTTTAATTTCTATGTGTATTATCTTTTTGATGGGTTATTTTAGACAATTCTTTGTATTTTACTTATTGTTTTATTCTGTATGTATGTTATTGTTTGTTTAGCTAAATTGTGAATCACTAAGAATAACTTATTTGTTTTTTAAAATGTGCTATAGAAATAAATTTCACATTGACATTCTATAGTAGAATTTTTTAGGCTGTACACATGAAAATAGGCCATCATTTTTCAAATTGGGTGCTTATACCGTGGCAGATTACCTTGCTTGGGATGAAGCAAAAATAAAATCACAGAACACCAACAACAGGTATTGTGAGGGAACTTTAGACTTTTAGACCAATCATTTAAAATCATCTCAACCAAAGCTCTGAATTGCCTAGATTTAGCCTTAATAAATACTAAATCTAAAAGACTTAAACAGTATGTGAAGCGTTGGCCTGGAGAGAGAAAGAAAGAAAGAATGGTCTCAGTGAAAGTTTCTGTAGAGGCTATTCTCATGAAACAAAAGTGTTGAGAATATTTTGTAAGGGTCTAAATTACTCAGCACTTGACCTGAAATTTGGTGGCAAGAGGTCTTCTGAGACTATGGATTCAAATCTGAAATTATTGTCTCAAATCCATGACTGTATCAACATAGGAGGTCATTGAAAGAAGTAACACTATCTAAAGTCAACAATACACATAGTTAAGGTTCTGTCATGATTAAGTACTACATTTCAGGTAATTTTGTTGGAAAATTACTGAAATTATTAACAAAGAGAAGAAGTCAGAATTTTAACCAG